AGGGAACGCAGTGGATGTAGCCTACCTTGATTTCAGCAAGGCATTTGACAAGGTGCCCCATGATATTCTTGTAAAGAAGCTGGTAAAATGCGGTCTTGACTATGCTACTACTCAGTGGATTTGTAACTGGCTGACTGACCGAACCCAAAGGGTGCTCATCAATGGTTCCTCTTCATCCTGGAGAAGAGTGACTAGTGGGGTGCCACAGGGTTCTGTCTTGGGCCCGGTCTCATTCAACATCTTTATCAACGACTTGGATGATGGACTCAAGGGCATCCTGATCAAATTTGCAGATGACACCAAACTGGGAGGGGTGGCTAACACCCCAGAGGACAGGATCACACTTCAAAACGACCTTGACAGATTAGAGAACTGGGCCAAAACAAACAAGATGAATTTTAACAGGGAGAAATGTAAAGTATTGCACTTGGGCAAAAAAAATGAGAGGCATAAATACAAGATGGGTGACACCTGGCTTGAGAGCAGTACATGTGAAAAGGATCTAGGAGTCTTGGTTGACCACAAACTTGACATGAGCCAACAGTGTGACGCGGCAGCTAAAAAGCCAATGCAATTCTGGGCTGCATCAATAGGAGTATAGCATCTAGATCAAGGGAAGTAATAGTTCCACTGTATTCTGCTCTGGTCAGACCTCACCTGGAGTACTGTGTCCAGTTCTGGGCACCACAGTTCAAGAAGGACACTGACAAACTGGAACGTGTCCAGAGGAGGGCAACCAAAATGGTCAAAGGCCTGGAAACGATGCCTTATGAGGAACGGCTAAGGGAGCTGGGCATGTTTAGCCTGGAGAAGAAGAGGTTAAGGGGTGATATGATAGCCATGTTCAAATATATAAAAGGATGTCACATAGAGGAGGGAGAAAGGTTGTTTTCTGCTGCTCCAGAGAAGCGGACACGGAGCAATGGATCCAAACTACAAGAAAGAAGATTCCACCTAAACATTAGGAAGAACTTCCTGACAGTAAGAGCTGTTCGACAGTGGAATTTGCTGCCAAGGAGTGTGGTGGAGTCTCCTTCTTTGGAGGTCTTTAAGCAGAGGCTTGACAACCATATGTCAGGAGTGCTCTGATGGTGTTTCCTGCTTGGCAGGGGGTTGGACTCGATGGCCCTTGTGGTCTCTTCCAACTCTATGATTCTATGATTCTATGGTTCTAAAAATCTGTCACCACTTGTCCTGAACTGGCAGGATGACAGGGAGGAGGAAGAGGAACCCAGCGAGAGGTGTAGCCATGACTGGGACACACTGGGGTAAGCAGAGGATGGGGAAGGAAATACAGGATGACAGAGGATGGCGATGGGATCAGTGCACAGGAACCAGAGCAGCAGGACCCAGAGCCAAGGGATCCCTGAGCCCACAGACACAACAGGCTCTGAGGCATAGGGGAGGAGTGCTCTAGAAGGCTGAGGCAGGTAAGGGCCCACAGCCAAGCTCATTAGTTGGCCAGGTGGGGCTCGCTAGTTCTGTGAAATATACTCAGAGTCGAGAGTGGATTTCATGCTCTTCATTCAGCTCATAGTGGTGAGGAGGAATGGAAGTTCCCCCAGGATAGGCATAGCTTTATATACATTATTTACACAATGGGCCCCACTTGATTGGCTAATTCTGGGATTCTCCTGTAAGCCAATCAGGTTGCGGATTCACTTCCACCTGGAGCTGGATTGGGTGGCTCCTGTGGACCAATCAGACTGCTGCATTCTGGATCCTATTGTTCTAGGACCAATCTGACTGCTGCATTTTGGATCCTATTCAACTCAGTACATAAGACTCTGGGAGGTGGGTTGTGATTCCTCAGCTAGAGTAGGCTTGGAACAGGTGAGGGTCACATACCTCATCAAGCCCAGATGCTGCAATCAGCATGCAAAGTATAAAGGAAAGCAGAGCTGAGGTGAGGTGCCTGCTCAACTGTTGATGGACCTTGGCTTGGGTGCTCCTGGACCTTTCTGGGACTGTGTTTGGGGTTTGACTCTTGACTGTATCCTGACTGCTAGACTTGGGCTACTTGGATTTACCGTGGACTGTGTTTCCTGAACCTTGGACTGGCCTTTGCTTGGGTGGACTGGCCCCTGGTTTTTGAACTTTGGACTTGGAATACAGGCTTGCCACCAGGTAGGCTGGGGGTTCAGGACATTGCTGCTCGTTGGCAGGTATCAAGTGATCTAAATACTGGCAGATCTTGCTGGGAGAGATTCTCGTGCCCTCCTTGTAGATGCTGTGGGTTGACCTTGGGTCCTTCTACATGCAAAGGAAGTTGCCACCGAGCTGCAGCCCTTTCCTGACACAACATGCCATGCTCTAGTTTCTCCCATCTCTGGTGTGGCAGCAACAGGAGAAGGGGAGCAGTGGGAACTTTTAAGCACAGCTCTTGCCACTTCAAGCTGCATCAAACCACGGTTAGTTCTAAACAATGGTTTCGTTTACTGGAGTGAGACATCACCTAAAAACTGTAGCTGCTTGTAGTCAGGCAGAGATTGAGCGTAATGAGGCACTGGGTTAAGCTTCATTTGCAAATCATCTTCCCATGGCAGCTGCAAAGCAGTCCAATTGCCAGTGTCCAGTGCCATTAAGACTGTATACATCTGTGACACTTGACCTCTGCTATTGTGGCTGTAAGAAGTAATCATATGTTCAGAAGCAGTTGGACTTCAAGCAGCTTGCTTCTTAATAACTTACTTGGCTATAAAGAAGCCCACTTGCTGAAGCTGTAGCCAGCTGCTCTCTGTCCCTCCAGGATTTATTATTTCATCATTTGTGTTGCATTGTTGAGTTTCTGCTGGGGAGGAAACATTATAAAGGGTAGGCTATTACCATCCATGATATGATGCAAGCAGGTACTACAACACCTTGCTGGTACCATAGCATCAGACTGATCGTGTTTCTAACTGCAGTGTCTTTCAGAGCTTACTTCCACAGGCGTGCCCCAAAATATTCTTTTCAGCCCATTCACCAGGGACACAAGTGGAAGTATGACTTCCTTCATGCCTTTTCAGTGATGGCTCTGACCTGGTGGAATGCTCTGTCCCATGAGACTAGGGCCCTTCAGGATTTCACCTCCTTCCGTCGGGCCTGTAAGACAGAGCTATTCTGCCTGGCCTTTAATTTGAATTCAGCCTGATCTTTTATTTCCCTTCAATTCCCTCCCCCTCCCCTTTTATGAAGATCACCCACTCTGAGACCCCACAGCTAATTCTCCCCTGGCCTCCTTGCTGGCCCAGGTAGGACCAATTCAGCCTGCTAGCCCTGGGGATTATCTAATTGATTTTTGATTTTTGAATTTTATTGTTATTCATGTTTTTATACTGTATTTTATGCTGCTTTTATAATTAAGTGTTTTAAAGTGTTTTAAATTTGTTGTTAGCTGCCCTGAGCCCAGTTTTTGAACTGGGAAGGGCGGGGTATAAATAAAAAATTAATAATAATGTTATTAGTGCCAACATGAATGTGTAAACCCGACTTAAATCAGCTCGTTCACTGAGAGCAGCAGTATTAGCTTCAAACAAACACAATTAATGGATGGTTCTGTGTCAGAATGTATTCATGAAACAGGAGGATCCTGTTCATAATCTGCTCACATTGCTCAAGTTGTGTACTACCTGAAGCAGGGGCAATGCTGATAAAGGGGTGGGGGAAGGGATTGTCATCAATGGGATTCTTTGAAGCCACGGGGGGGGGGGGACACCTCCATCCTGATGTTTCTGATGCTCACGGTGTGAGTGACGTCGCATATGCAGCTAAAACAGCACCAACGATACAGCTATACCAATTTCAGTTTCTCAGTTTCTCATTTTTTCCAATCGAAATTGGTTCTCCAGATTTTTTCATCATTTTGTGTTATTTCTTAAGCTTTCATGAAAATTCATCAGCCATTGAGCATGAATTTGTATTGTTTTGGAAAGTCTGAATTGGGCAAGTCCACATTTCAATGCAAACTGAATTGAATATCATCCCTCTCACTTAACTGAGGCACAAGGAGTTATCAACTGGCTTGGGGAAACCCAAAGGTTTGCAGAAGTTCCAAAAATCCTTTGAGGGGGGGAAGCTGAAGGACTCTCCCAAACATCCCAGTGAGGACTTAAGTGTGCTCATTGGCAGTGAAATGCTGACAGTTTTTTGGGGGCAGGGTGCTGGCTTAGGGAACAAGCTTGAATTATTCAGGGTCTTCTACTCCCAAGGCACTTTGGTAAGTTCTACTTAACTAGCTTTCTGGATTTAGCAATAGAGTGGATAAACTGTGGGAACATCCTTTAGGAAAGAGATGCCTTTGGCTTCCATCGCTGTGATCCATTTATTCTTCACACAAATACACAGCTCTGTTCTTCTCTCTCCATACATGTTACATTTGGGAGCCGAATTCCATATGTCTAAGTTCCAGTGAGAGCTGGACCATAAAGAAGGCTGATCACTGAAGAATTGATGCTTTTGAATTATGGTGCTGGAGGAGACTCTTGAGAGTCCCATGGACTGCAAGAAGATCAAACCTATCCATTCTGAAGGAAATCAGCCCTGAGTGCTCCCTGGAAGGACAGATCCTGAAGCTGAGGCTCCAATACTTTGGCCAGCTCATGAGAAGAGAAGACTCCCTGGAAAAGACCCTGATGTTGGGAAAGATGGAGGGCACAAGGAGAAGGGGACGACGAGGATGAGATGGTTGGACAGTGTTTTCGAAGCTACCAGCATGAGTTTGACCAAACTGCGGGAGGCAGTGGAAGACAGGAGTGCCTGGCGTGCTCTGGTCCACGGAGTCATGAAGAGTCGGACACGACTAAACAACAACAACAACAACAACAACAACAACAACAACAACAAGTTCCTACCTAAAAATTACTGATATGGCTGCACCACTTAGCCACTCAGAGCTCTCTGACCTTTCGCAGTCCATAAGTCTATTCAGTGCAGATCCTATCTTTTCTTCCTCATTCCATATTTCAGATTCGCTGTGGAATCTGGTATATCAGATGCATCTCAGTAACTATAAAGGAAATACAGGGGAAGGAATGTGGCTCAGTGGGAGAGCATCTGCTTTGCATGCAGAAGGTCTCAGGTTCAATCCCCGGTAATGACCCCTGCTTGAAACCCTGGAGAGCTGCTGCCAGTCAGTGTTGACAAAATTCTGACCTAGATTGACCAATGGCTTGTCTCAGTACAAAGCAGCTTTGAGAGAGGGAGAGGAGATGATTGTTGTATGTGCATCCTCCCTAAAGCAGAAAAAAGGGGTTTCTTACACAGAGAAGCAAAGGAGTGGGGTTGGGAGACAGTAAACAATTACTATTATAACTTGATTTGGCAGTATGTACCACTGAGACGTTATGACCCTCAGTGACCCCCTTATGGGAAAATGAGAGTGATTTGTTTGTTTGCTTGCTTGCTTACGTTCCTTACAAGGGCTCCCGCAGTGGAGCGCAACATTGGTAACATTAAAAGAATAGAAAACAATTTAAAACCATAGATTAAATGCTTATAGCATAATCAACCGAACCAGCATGTTTTAAATCAAACAGCAACAACAAACCACCAGGAAACTCTGTAGCGCCCTAACAAGGTCTGACTCTAAATCTAGGATCTGGGAGGCGAGAGGGTTCAAATCCCCACTCAGCCATAAAGCACACTGGCAGAACTTGAGCGAATCACAGCCTTCCCCAAAGGTGTTACAATGCTACAATAAAAATAAAAATAACTGACTGAAATTTGTAAGACATTCAGCCATGCTTACTTCTCTGGGAGTGAGTTTCAAAGGGAGGCTTTTTGGTGTACCACATAGGTTTCTAGTTTAAAGTTCAGATCTCTACTATTCCATAACAGTTGGCAGTTTGTCTGTTGTTGTTTTTTTAAAGTTGTTATAAAAATTCAACTGCATTTTAGTGAACATCTCTCCAGGTATACATTTTTTTAAAAGCAATTTTTCCTAATATAATATTTTTTTCTATTATATTTTCACTAAAATGCCCATTGTGAGGCTGGGACAAGGGATAAGATCTACGTTTGATAGATGGCTTTGTATTTTTTTTTATTCCCTTCCACTTTCTCTCTTCGTTTATTTCCTATTTTCTTTCTTTTTATTTAGATTAGTTTCGTTTTTATTGTACGTCAAAAAGTTTCAATGCAAACATTATTTTTTCTTTAAAAAAGTCCAAATGCTTGTGCACATGCCTGGGAAAAATAAGGCCTCAATCGTAAACAGATTTTTAAAGGAATGATTCCCATTGAACTCGGTGCGAATGACTTCTCAGTTTTAAGATGCGTCAGAATATTGTGTACTTCTCTAGGTTAAAAGCCAATGAAGATTTAGGCTGCTGACACAAATGGGAAAGGGAAAGAACGCCCCACCCTAACAATGACCCTCCGGAAAAGGTAAGCAAGCAAGACACTCTTTTATGTTGCATTTTTGGCTGCACACGGTGTGTTGGCCATTTCCAGTCTCCAGCAGGGAAGTGTGTTAGAACTCCCTCTGGCTTAACCTCCCGATGATCATATATCTGCACTGACTCTGACCTTCCACAAATCCCCTTGGGATGAAAGGGGATTAATTCTCCCTGCTAACTTCAGTCTCTGAGGCAGTTGCTCGAACGCTAGTGAGCTGTACGAGATGAGGGGCTCCACTCTGACACCAGATATCAGTTCTCATCTGTTCTGACACCAGATCACTCTGTATATTTGAAATAGCTTTGGGGGATATGACCCCAGCTTATGTGGCTTAGCAATCTGTCTCTGTGAATAATGGATTTCTTTGAAATTATAGTCCTTTAAAAGAAATTAATTGAATGTGCTTTAAGGAAGTTTGGGTGCTTGTGCGGTGTGCATGTGCGTTCGAAATCCTGCTGTGCAAGGTTGGGAAAAGTCGCTATGCGAAGACTACATCACCCAGTTAATTTCCCCCTACCTGCCTGGGAGCACCCTTATTTTTCTTTGAATGTAGGAATACTGGTATACCTGATCCAATGAGAAATGGGTTACACAAGTGCACATCAGTTATGTTCCAAAATGTAGATATCAGCTCACAGTAGCCTAACAGGAGACCAGAATGATTGGTGACAGTATTCACCAGGGTTAGAATAAAGAATATGGGGACATTAGCAGAACTGTAATCTGACGCTCATTTCTCTACACACTGCACTCGGAAATGTGGCTAGATAACTATTCTCCTATGCAGGTGGTGCTGTGGACTAAACCACAGAGCCTAGGACTTGCCGATCAGAAGGTCGGCGGTTCGAATCCCCGCAACGGGGTGAGCTCCTGTTGCTCAGTCCCAGCTCCTGCCAACATAGCAGTTCGAAAGCACGTCAAAGTGCAAGTAGATAAATAGGTACCACTCCGGCGGGAAGGTAAACGGCGTTTCCATGCGCTGCTCTGGTTCGCCAGAAGCGGCTTAGTCATGCTGGCCACATGACCTGGAAGCTGTATGCCAGCTCCCTCGGCCAATAAAGCGAGATGAGCGGCGCAACCCCAGAGTCAGTCACGACTGGACCTAATGGTCAGGGGTCCCTTTACCTTTACCTATTCTTGCCTCTTAAGTGCTGCCTTCAATCCAGGGGCGGAGCAAGGTGGGGGTGGATCGCCCCGGGTGGTGTCATCTCCGAGGGGGGGTGACATTCAGCGTGCCAATCCATCTGGGGAGGGGGGGAGCTGCGGTGTTCCTCCCTTCCCCCTTTATTTTGACAGCCTTGTGCTCCGAGCTGCTGGAGGACCAACTACCAACTTTGGCCAACCCTCCCCAACAACTCCTGGCAACAACTCCTGGCAAGATCAACAACTCCTGGCAAGATCACAGGCAGCCTTTTTATACTGTGAGTAGATTGCAGTCTCTTGGGAGTCCAACTAGATTACAGTGTGTAGGGGGGTGGGTGACAAGAAATTTTCCACACCGGGTACCACCTGACCTTGCTACACCACTGCTTCAATCCCGCCTCACTTGAGTGGCAATGAAATGGGTTGTTTCTTATTCCACTTTATGAATCCCATCCCCCCCCCACAAACACACTTTTGTTCCTGTTTGGGCTTCTCTTTTTCTCTCTCCCTTGCCCTCATTTGCCTGAAGGTTGTTTTTGGTAATGAATTTTTTTTGGAAAGAGTTTTATCACAGTTTATCATTTGCAGTGATCACTTTTATTAGTTATTATGCTAAAATGTACCGTGCGCATATTGAGCTCTCTATAAAACCTCAAGGTCCTAAAATTGTTGTTGTTAACAGAGAAGCAAACCAACACACAGTGTACAAGACCCTGAACGTGAGGAGTTTATATACCTTATATGACAACAATACTTACGGCGTAGTCCTGCAGCACAGCCTGCAAATCTATTCCTTAGAGAGCACGAGGGAGGTGTATAATATGTGTGCTCATTTATGTTTTAGTGTTTTCAACAACAGGAAGGCCAAATCGAATCCCAGAATGTTTGTTATTGAGTGGGCCCCTGCAAGAGAACAAGACCATTTTAAGCATTTCTTCCTATCCCTCTAAAGTTTATTGCCCATCCAAACAAGAAGTTGCAACTCTGTCCATATGTTAGGTCTGTGAAGGGGTAAAAGTAAAGGGTAAAGGGACCCCTGACCATTAGGTCCAGTCGTGGCCGACTCTGGGGTTGCGGTGCTCATCTCGCTTTATTGGCCAAGGGAGCCGGCGTACAGCTTCCGGGTCATGTGGCCAGCATGACTAAGCCGCTTCTGGCGAACCAGAGCAGTGCACGGAAACGCCGTTTACGTTCCTGCCAGAGCGGTATCTATTTATCTACTTGCACTTTGACATGCTTTCGAACTGCTAGGTTGGCAGGAGCTGGGACCAAACAACAGGAGCTCACCCCGTCGTGGGATTTCGAACCGCGACCTTCTGATCAGCAAGTCCTAGGCTCTGTGGTTTAACCCACAGTGCCATCCACGTCACTTAGCCCATCCAAACAAGAAGTTGCAACTCTGTCCATATGTTAGGTCTGTGAAGAGGTAACATCCAAGTAAAGGGGCTTCAGGTCTCCACCTTGATGATGCCTGGCTTCCCATGGCCCACCCCCTGCAAACCCACACTTTAGCATGGACTTCTGGGTTGAGAAACCCAGAGCCTTCCAGGATCTGAGGATGCCTATGTTGCTGTTCTACCTCCACTTTCCACCTGTTAAGTATAATTAACTGGCACTGAAATGGAAAATGCTTGTATGTATGTTGCTTTGGTGGGTGCACAGTTCATTAATGCACAAGCAGCATCACCGCAATGGTACCTTTAATAGTTTATAGACGAGGGGCAGAAGCATGGGAAGGGGCTACAGCTCAATGGCAGAGCACCTCCTTTGCATTCAGAAGGTCCCAGGTTCAGTCCTTGACATCTCCTCTTAAAATACAGGTGATGGGAATGACTTCTTCCTCAAACTCTGGAGAGCCACTGCTAATCAGAGAAGATAATGCTGGTCTAGATGGATTAATAGTCTGATTCAGCATTACAGGGCAATTTCCTATGTTCCATCTCCCTGTATTTTACAATCCGCAGAGCTTTTCCTGTGTCCTTCTGTCAGGGAACTGCCATCAGTGCCGGAGGGAGAGAGCAAACGCCAGAGGGATTCCAGAGAGCGTCCAGGGATTGGGAGAAGCAGCCCATCTTCTGGGGAAGAGAATCAGCGTAGCACCAGTGGAGAAGGGGGGCAGATGGGGGAAGCGGCGAGGCGGTCCCACGACTCCTTGCCTGGGACCAGCGGGGAGAGTAGGGGTCCTCCGTTGCCCACGCCCTCCTTGCGCAGAAGGCTTTCGCGCAGAGAGAGTAGGAGGAGACTAGGCGTCAAAGAGCTTCTTTGCTGGAAGAAGTTTAAGAAACGCCCACTGACAGATTCTGCCAGCGATTGAGTCAGCCACGGGTGAGTGGCTGTCCAGACAGAAAAGGTTCACTTAGGCAACCCAGCCAGGTGTTTGCACCCAGCCGGGGAGATAAGCACCGGCTTACGCACGAGCAACCCCTAGAACCATTACACCTTCAGAAATCAATAGTTTCACTAGTAAGTTCACTCTGCAAAACAGCACTTCTTGCATCTCAACAGCATCTAAATGTGTTGCCCTGAGTACTTGATTTTTAGAAACGTGGCTGCATTTGTCAATGC